TAAATATTCTAGGAGGCGCAACTCAGTAAGAAAAAGTCCTTTCTAAACTTTCGCTAAGTCTATTTATATATACATGAGTATATATTTTGTTCAAGGTTTCGCATATTCTAAACACATCTGTAGTTTTCTGCATACATTTATACGTGTTTAAGATTAACATTCAAAGGATAAAATTACTAAAAATTTTAATTTATTTATATTGTTTTTGCTTTAGTTCGGAATTTATTTATCCCTTAAGAATAAAAAGCATTTTCTTTCATTTATTAATTCTTTTATACTTTAACTTAATGTTTTCTACCTCGGGATAATCCTGTACAGGTCTTTGCTATTCTGCGTTTCTTACTGTTGCCATAGCATCTATGTTGCTTCTTTAATTACCCGATAAATTTTTATCCCAAATGGGCGTTTAGTCTCGAAATGGCATTTTAAGTTGAATCACTATAAATGGTTGTATCACAATTCAAATTGTTGCCACCAAATATTTTCGCTATGTATTGTATTTAAAGAAACTAAATAATGAAGAATCTACACGAATAGAAGTACGTTTCACGCACTGAGAAAATCATCAAATTCTGGATAACATAGTCCTCCACCCGAACATGGGCACCTCTAAGTTCGATTTTGCGCAATTTGCTTTATTGCCTATTTCATATTTTCTAAAACATTAACAAATTTTTGATTAAAAATCTCAAAAATTTTAAAGCGAGCAGTGGCAACATTGTAGGGAAAAATACTTTTTTCTCCCACGCGCAAGACTGTCTATAGAAAATTCTAAAAACATGCTTTTTTTAAATATTTTTAGTCCAATTTATTTATTTTTAATATGTTCACAGTAGCTTATGAAATCTAAATACAATTTGCTTAAATTTCTGGGAATATAATTACCCCCTCCAATGAGCTGCTGTATGGAAGTATATACTTTGAATTACGATTTTTATACTGAATGTGGTAAAGCCAATAAATCTGGCCTGCATTTTCGGCCTAAATGAAAATGATTTCTGAATTACATTGACATTTCATCTCCATGAAATTATTTCCATTTCCTTCCTGTTTTCATAAACGCGTCTCAGAAATTCTCAATGTGCGAAATGTGAAGAACCGAATAAGCAAATAAATAATACAAAATATGCTGAATAAAATATAATCAACACCGACATAAAGTATTCATCAACAAAATAGAAGCTTCCTGGAAGGAACTCAAATTGTAAGCATGAAACAAGGGACAAAAACAAACTGCAACCACATTTGTAAATACATAAACCGTGCGCCTTTGTCTCAAAAACTTTTCTTCGCGCGTGATTTTTTCCGAGCAAACTCGTGATTTAAGACGATCGTTTACCAGGCACGCAACCTGAACGTGATGCGGACCGCAAGTTGACATCAGCCTTTTTTATGCCGATTGGACTGCGCGATGCGAAAACTTCTCCGAGATTCCTTCTCTTCCGTTTGAGAATGTTGCACATTTCTGAGATGTCCGCCCGTGACCGTCAAGCACTCTTCTATGACTAAGGTGGTCTGATTGGAATTTCACGGGAAATGTGTGACTTGTTCACGGAATTTCGCTGTTTTTGCTTTCACACAAGACAATCAAGATGATGGTAAACGGGGATTTTCAACAAATTGCAATAGATCGTAGTTCCTGTTCTAACGAGAATTTTTTTTTTAAAACTTAACACTCAGTTTTCTCTGAAATATAATTGATATCCAGAACAGCTTATATTTATAATTACAATGCAAACAAAAAAGGGGAGCGTTTTCCATTAAAGTACTCTGAAGCGTTTCTTTGACTACAACCTCTGAAAATACTTATAACTACTCTCATAATACCGATTTGACTACAACCTCTGAAAATACTTATAACTACTCTCATAATACCGATTTCAGCTACTAAATTTTCTAGTATGTTTCTGAAGACGGCACTTTTTTTATTTAACTTTCTCTAGGCAGATGTTTTTCCTTCCATATGTTAACTTTAATTGCTCAAACTTATGTAAAATTCCGCTGAGACAGGATCTTTATATATGTTATATATGTTATCTTCATAAATTTTACGAATTTTGATGTTATTTTATTTTGGAATGAGAGAATAATTTCTGGCACGTTTGCGGATACCGAAATGTTTTTCTCCTTGACGACAGTAAAACGTTTTTCAGCATAGTTTTATTTACACAATATTTTGGTTGCGCTAAGATAATTGCTTTTTTGTAATTACAACGACTGAAATTTAATGGAGAGGCATTTAAGTAGTATTAAGTCGAATACTTAAAGTTGGAATTCTCCTGAAGATATTACGCTCAGTGAATAATGCAAATTAAGATATGCAATCAAAATAGGAAATAAGAGCGATTTTATTTAATGTTCCCTCACTAAGGAAACAAAATGTTTGAAAGCATTTTAACTGTAATCTTTCAGAAATACTTGTCAGTTCGTGGTAGATATTTGTCTTAGTATTATTTCGTTGTGTATTTGAGAGAAATGACCTTCCAAATAGCACCGAACATAAAGCATTCAGTATCCAGGAAAATGTATACTTCTTAGTTAAAATATGATTTATTGCTAACGAAATGTAAAAAAACCTATAAGGAAATACGCAGAAACAAAACATTTATCACAAAATAATCGAAACTTTTGCATTCTAGCTATGAATAAGTTATTAAGATCTGCGTATAAACCATATCGTAAAATCATATCGATGGTTAGGGAGACAAATATTAAAATTTTCCGTTTCCAACATATAAAAAAAAAATCTTTCAGAAAGCCTGATTCTCCGCTTATCAATGTCAATGATCTTCGCACAGGTTTCAGATTTCCTAGATTTTAGAATCTTTGCACTCACTTCCTTCCCGTTTCGCTTCAGCACCACAAACGCGAGCTCGTACTGCGACGGAAAAACGCTCGTAAATTGCACACTCGTTCACGCGGTTCTGGCGGAGATTCGAGAATCCCTCCGTTCCTAGTTAGGCAAGTTCGGTGACAAGGTCGATCCAGTTTAACAGATTCGAGGTACTCGCGCAGTTTCTAAACCGATGTTTTGTTGCGGAAGAAAATAAGCCGAAGAAATAAATAAGACAATTACGTTCCCTTTGATATTCCGAAGGAGGTTTTCGAGAAAGCTTGGTAAATTGTTTTTGATTACAACGAAAAACGGCGGAAAAATTGTGAGTGAGCGAGTTTAGCTTGGAGGAAGACGCGGAAGATGCCAACGTTTCCACACAGGAAATTAAAAAGAAAATAAATATAATAGAATGACCGCATGCGTTCTTTGTTTTTCTGGCGGGGGGATAAACATAACCGATTTCATTACCTCAGAAAAATCCCTCTTCAATTTATGTTTTTTTAATCTTATTTTATAAACATATTAAAATTTATACCTTATAAACATGTTTAACATCATTATAATTTAATCTTACCATAATTCTAACTATAATAAACTAGACATTTCTTATAGTTCTGAATTATAGAGAGATATTATGCTATATTGCAGTTGCGTACTTTTCCATGTTATAGAATGTCAATATGAGTGCCCACTTTCAGTACCTATTGGATCAGAAACACTGGTCTTTGCCCTCCATAAAATAATTTATTGTGACAAAAGTATCATTTTCGTTCTTAGAACTTCGCTTTTCCAGCATGTTCATTCACATTTATTATAAAATATTTAAAAAAAGAAACATGAATCATTAATGTGTACATATTAACAAATACATGCAGTCTGTCATCAATGCTTTTATTGTCGATGACTAAAGCTACTTTCAAAATCGCAATTTTTATGAAATGACTTTTAAAGTTTAAGTGGAAACCACATTATAGAGTTTTGATTTTTTTAGCATTTATTTACGTTTATTATTAGGAAGTTTAGTTTTTCCATATTACAATTGCTACCTCTGTTACAAAATTTTTTCTTTATAATAGTTTAATACAAATTACTTTATTTTTCAAAGCAGTGTTTCATACTTATTTATTTTTTACAGATGTTATATACGTGTATAGCTTAGTCTTTTCAATTTGGTGGCCCGTTAAATTATGTTATATATTTTTTATGCTACCAGGACATTCATAACCAACTAAAGCTAGTAGGTATTATATTCTGAATTTAAATATATTTAATTTATCTTCCGCACGCCTTACAATTTCGTAAGATGTTTAATTTTCGTTTGAAGTTATAATTATAGTTTCTCAGCAAATTGAGTTGTTTAAAAATAATAAATACACTGTTTAACAATTTACATGTTCGTTTTTTAAATAATACGTTTAGTTGATATGTTTCCTGATGTATCATATTAATATGATTTATAAAATATCCAAATGATCATTTTTATGGATGTTTTTGCATTAATTTCAAAATTAATAAGATGTTTCTAACGGTATGAAGTGCATACTGTTGCATGGAATAAATTCTTTATAACAGTGCTCCTTAAAATCACAGAAAGCTTTCAGCAATATAAAAAGTTTTGAATAGTTTCATTTACAAATTTCAGATGTGTTTCATAACATATCTGAGATGATTTTCTAGGGCGTTCTAATCAAACACGTTAATATTTACCATTTTGAAATTAATGCCAATATAATTCCACTACGTTATTCGTTAAAGCATTCCAAGAAATCAGTAAGAAGTTCTCTTGAAGTCCTAAGTAAGACAATTTTTACTGCGTTTCATTCTCAGAGTTTGCTTCCAGTTTTATATATGTAGAGTAATAAAAATAAGTTATCTTCCTCGAATTTCTGTTTTTTATTTCAATTCGAAGACTTATTGACTTTTTAGTTTTTAAATGATTCTTGTGCCTTAAAAATTTCCAATGGTATGAAACGTACATTAAATCTTATAAACGGCAAAATTAATTTTTACTGCAGAGCTAAATTGTCACTTACTTAAAATGCGACTTAAGCAGCCTCGCAAAGTTTCAACTTTTCGCAGTAGAAGAAATAAAGCGAATAAAAACAAGCTAAAGAAAATAAAGAGAAAAAAAAAGAAGAGTCGAATTTGCTGTGTAAAAACTCACCTTCCCGTTTTTGTTATGATCATCTCCGTTCCTAGCTCGTGGAACTTGTCCCACAGGTCTTTGTTTTCGAGCAGGCAGTCGACGCCTTGCAGCGACTCGCTGCTGCATCGAGGCTTTAGGCCCGCCGCATACGGGTTGTGCGAGGAGCGCGAGGCGGTCGGGGTGGCGGCCGGCTGCGGCGAGTCGCCCTCCCGCGTATCCCGATCTCCTTCACCCGCCGCCGAGCTGGGACGGGACGACCCGGGTCGGGGAGAAGGCCCAGGACTCAGGGTCTCATCCAAGTCCGACGAAACGGAGGAGGAACGAGGGGACATGATCCCAGAGTCCGGTTGGGAGTGGTGCGACTGTGGTGGTTTGAGTGGAGGTGGTGGCGGTGGAACGTATGAGTGATGATCCGGAATGCCAGAGCTGGGAAGAGGCTCCGATCCTGTAAAAACGCAAAAGAATAACTGATTTTAAAATTAATATTTTGAATGATATAATAAATAATTATATTGCGGGCAAAAAAAAGTATACAAAATATTATGATGGGAATTTTCCTGTTTCATTGAAAGATGTAGTTTGACAACAAACTTTTCAATTTGAGTCGAATTTGGTTAACTCTGCATTCTGCAAGTTCCCCTTTTCTTTCAGCATTCAATAAATTCATTGTTCGATTTCATATCACTTAATACTCATTAATAGCTGACATTATACATATTACACACCTATTTTTTTCATTTATTATCTTAATTTTTATTCATGAGGCAAGTGGTAGGCGTTTCTGCAACTGTTTTATTTTCTCCTCATTTAAGCTTTAGATTTCGTACAGTGTCTTAATCGTTAGCTATAATTAGATTGTTTATTTATAATTATCTTAATTGTATTTATATTTTACGTATTTTAAACTAAATATGCGAGAAGTTATTTGACTATTAATTCAACCAAGCACTTTCTTTCCATCTTATACTGCGGTTTTCAGAAACTGAGATCTTAAGGCCATTTCACATAAGTATCTGAGCTTAGAGTCGGGCCAGGGTAGTGAATAGGTTGGCTACATAGACTTCAGATTTTTTCCCCGCTTGACATGAAAATTCGAGCCAATTCTCTTCACAAAATCTTTCCTTCTTAAAAAAAAAGTATTTTTCACGTGCTCTTTATAACAAACTAGCTGCTTGCACCGCTAGCAGTCTAACATAATTATTATATTTAAAAAAGAAATATAATCGAAACAGAAATTGTAAAGCCAACAAGTAATGAGACGTAAGACCTATTTGGTCTTAAAAATTTTTTGCGCATAATGCTGCAAAAATATATGAAATAATAGGTAGAAACATTGCAGCGATCTTGCTAAAATGTTACCAGGAGCTGTAGCTCCACGAAATAGTACAACGCTATATTACTAAAATATTAACAAAGAAGAAATTTAAAAAAAAAATATTAATCCGGAAAAAACTGGAAAAAAACTGCTTACACGCGAAATAAAACTGTCAAAAATCAATGTTGGAACTGCAGACTGCACATTTTTTATTAAATATAATATTAATTTTGTCTCAATTCCAAAATTATCAATACTTTTATAGCTTTTACATGCAATACTTGTTTAATACTCAAACCACTAGTGCCCAAAATGATGACTGAAAACAAAGTGAGCATTTAGTACAAATAGTTGTAATTAATTATAAATAGTATTAAAATTCAACTTAAATGTAATAATTCGCCTCAGTTAAATGTGTTAATAATAAAAGTGCCAACATTGAATGCATATTAAATTTTATTGTATATTTAAATTAACCGTTTAATAGTTTGGCAATTGTTTAATAATTTGGTTTAAATAACCATTTAATAATTTGGTTATTATTGTATCAAAAAGACATAAAACATAAATAGGATAACATTAAATAAGCATAAAATCAAAAGGACATAGACCTTAAAAATATGTTCAAACGGTAGTGATATTTTGTATTTATTTCCACATTAGCAACAAATGACATTTAAAGCATTTTTCGAGAAAATTTAAGTCGAGACTCCAATATGCTATTCTTTCAGCTTTAAGTTTATCAATGTATCCTCCCCCAGGGTGGAAGAGGAGAATTTTTTCCAAAACTTTCTGCACTTATTATCATTCAAAGCTTTTGAAGGTTAAAAATACATTTCGCAAGAAATGGAATACATTTTACTATCTTATTACTTAATATCTGCAGGTTCAACAGACCAAAAACGTTTTATGGCATTAATTAAGATCTGGAGATGGTAGGTCTCTGAACCTAAACGCTATTAGATATGCGTGGATAGCGAAGTTTTTCCACCTGTCATAGATGCGGTTTGCTTATAAATCGATTTCCATAACTAAAGTGCTTTTATTTAACGGGGTAGTTGAGTTTTAATTCCTTTCTCGTCTTACAAACTTAAATGTTTTAACAACATGATTACCTCTAAAATAGCTTCAAATACCTTTTTCAAACATATATTTCATACAAATCCCTTTCAATTTATATAATAACCAACAAATTTTAAAATACACGAAACATTCATAAAACTATGAAACGTTTTCTGAAACTACGGCTTCGTTCAAATATATATCAGGGTTCTACGTTTTAAAAATAAAAAATATGCCGAAATAAGTTTTAGTAACTCCTTTATACTCTTGATGGCTGAAAGTTAAGTCCATTGATATAAATAAATGGATAAAAGAAATATATTCGTAGAAGCAAAAATAACGAATTGCGTTCCACATAGATTATTCAAGTACGTGGGCAGCCAAAGCATTTAAAATACATCAAATGAGGATTATTATTTACGCCTTAACTTTCACGTCCAACGGAAACCTATTTTCTCAGTTTTACTTCGAAGTTATGATATTCTGATGATCAATTATTACTTTTGCTGTAGAACTCTCTCAGCATATATGTTAAGAGTATATTGACTCGATATATCAGGCTCATGAACACTCGAGGGTAAAATTAAGAAAGTTTGCAAATTACGTCTGTTTTTACCATAAATATTGAACCAATAGTACTAATTATGCTTACGAAGAATTATGCATATATTTAGAGGAGAATACATAAGCGTATAAGTGCGTGTTCGTAAAACTGTGATAGTGGAGTATAAAAGAAGTAAGTACTAAAATTAAAATGTTTTGGGTTATATTTTAATATAATTTTCCATTGAAACTGTTATGGCCTCCTGTGAAGTACCACTTGCAGTTGTCTAATTTTACTCAAAATATAATCAACTATTTATTGAGTGCAGGAAGCTTAAATACGGAAATTGGAAATTTTGGGGAATTTCATATAATTTTATATAATGGACGAAATAATTCTTACACACAGACAGACACAATTTTAAAAATAGTAAAAACGTGTTATGGGGGACCCTAATTCGTACTTATTCACTGAAAGCTCCCGAAAACATTACCTCCCTTACCTATGTATATAGGTTGGCGGAAGATAGGAAGAAGAAAGAACTTACAGTGAATGACCTTACAGTAAGGTAATGAAATGATTAATAATAAGGAAATGTTTTTAAAATATAATGAAATGTTCATAAAAGAAGGAACTTGCAGTAAATTTTACAATAAATGACAAATGGTAAAGTGTTCATATAATTTTCAAACGTAATGCTGGTACAGTAAAGAGTAACAATGGATAGAGCTAAAAATTTAAATTAACGAAATGATATGCATGATGTAAGTTCTTTAATTATTATAAGAAATTTAATTTAAGAGAAATGAAAGAAACATGTATTTCAAATAAATCAGTTTTCAATTTTAAACAAAGCAACTGCGCATTAGAATTGAAATTATTATATGCATTTTTTAGAGTTAATCTATCTATTTTCAAACATACTTTAAAAACTAGAATATTTGAAAAGAAATCTAATTATCTAAGCAGTAGCATTAACGCATCATATGTAAGAAACAGAAATGTGTAAACTCCCGTCGAGAAATTTCTTAAAAAGAGAGAAAATTCAAGATCCATATGTTTCCATTAATTTCTTTTTATTACACTTCGTATTTTAATTCGTAAAAATTGTAAGAAAGTTACCTGATTAATTCTCAAAATACATAAAAGAAAAAAATATTGAAGCAACTCTTTTAATGGTAGGCAATTATAAAAACATTAATTTAAGTTTTGAGCAATTCATGCGAACCTTTGTTAATACCTTTGTTTGTAATTGCAGAACTGCAATTACAATCACAGTTATTAGTTACAGAAAATAACAGTTACATCACAAATATTTTATTCAGTCTTTAATTATCACGGTTTATGATATCCTTATCTAGCAGAATTATACTAGATCACATATCATCACCTGCAGGTTGGAGCAAACGGGGCCCTTGTTCTCCCAGAATCGATTGGTTTTGTTTATTTAATTATGGCACAGCATACGAGAGTTATTTGTCCAAGGGGAGAGAAACCTTTTTGGAGAAATTTCTAAGGAAATCTAGCTCGTAGCCACATTATACATGGGGAAAACCACGAAAACGCCCATGCAGCTATTTCGCCTGGAATCGGAACAGGTCGAAATACCACTATTCAGAGATTTTAATACTCGGCCGCCTATGGGCTTCCCGAAATCCAGAATAAATATCTTATGTGTTAATGCATATATAGCATGTTATGTTTTTATACTCATTCGATGATGCATTCTGTAATATACTTGTGAATCCGCCAGCATTAAATAGTTAAATAAAATTTATTAATGCAATCAGTGTCTCCTATATTTGTCGTCCTTCCCCTTGGAAAATTTTCTGCGGACGTCCATGTAAAAAAGTGTGCTTCACATTGCGCATTTAAATGTGAAGAGGAACGCTTTTCAAAGTACATGAACTGTACGAAATATACGCTTTTCAAAAAGCGCGAATGAGAGAAGGCAGATAGTTGCACAGAAATAATCCGGCTCATGACGCAAATATAAATGCACACATTCTAGCAATACGAATAAGAACTTTCAAATTCTGTATGTAAGATGTGCAAATAAGATAACATATTTTACGAATGTGGTGTGGATCTTTTAACGACTGTGACATGCTCAGGGTGAGAAATTTGCATCAAATTTCAACTCCCGAGGCAGCTGAAGATACGAGGAGGCGATATTTTTACCTGGTGTTGGTCAATAAAAAGCGAATTTAGGTTTAATCTTTTCTGTTTTCTGTAGATGCTGGTTCTTGCACCTGCTTTACGATGCACGTAGGCAGAAAAAATGTTAAACCTGCAGACAGCAATAATATCTGAATGCATGTCTAAGTGAAGTTAGTTTCTTTTTACCTTATAAAAATACTACAGAAGTATAGATAGATGCACATACTTCTTTAATATGTTTAATTTATTGATTTTTATGCTCTTTCATTTGAATATACTAGCATTTTCCTCATTTTTTTTAATAGGAAGCTCTTCGGATTATTCGTATTTTAGAAGGCACTGACAGTATAACAGTAGTTAACTC